TCTAATTGTACATTATTTCGTACGAGGTTGGAATTCGTGATTTTGAAACTGTACGCCTTCCTAAATCGCATGTAATATATTTTGCATTTTTCGATACAAATCATGTATGTTCGATAGATGTTTAGCTTGTATACAGTTATTCACCATTTCAGACTATATACTACGTTTCTCAGCATACGTCTTCTGACTTTTACAATTAATTTTGTAGTTTAATAATTTACCTAATATTGATCGATATCTTGTTGCACTGCAACGGATATTAAGCTATCAGCGTTTTACTTAATACAATGTTGTCTGTAAAATTGTACAAATTAGTCGACATTACATAAATTTTCTATCAGCTGAAAACTCCACTGAGATCTTGCATCACAAAAAAATAAGTCTGTAGTATAAACTTGGCGTCTTTCCGTAATGATATATACGGTGTATATGATCCTGTATTGTTTCGAGAAACATATGTATTTATTGTAAAATTAGGAACAGGATGATAAATATGATACTTGACGAATAGATGTGATCAAACAGATTTTCGAAAGGAGAAAAAACACAAAAGAAATATAATACTAACTTTCTTCTCTTTTATAGAATTTATACTTTCGCAATTGAAAGGTAGATAAGAATTCTATTTTTGCGTTCATTCTTTTAAAGTACCATAGTTTTGTATCCTATACTGAAACGATGTGAGATATTGTAAATATTAGCATAAGGCGATAGTTATATTCGATGTATATTTAACTCTGGAGTTACTGAGATAGTATTCTGCTTTCTTGTAGAAAGAATAAAAGAGAAGATTAGCTCCCCCTCAGTTTCTGCTTCAGTTAAGAATGATTGAATATAACTATAACGTGACTACAACGGGGAAATGAGTTTTTAATCATTCAACGATCAATATCTCTGAAAGAGTATTAAAAATATTTCTCGATTACGTCTTAAATTATAATAAGGCTTTGTAAAGTGCATAAGTTTTTTGCGAGAACGTTTGTATTTTGCCGTTTATCTATTTAGAATGCTATAAAACGATAATTACTTGCGCTATATTTCCGTGAAGAAAAAAAACAGAAATACATTGCGAATTTTATATCTTAGAAGGAAGAAAAATGAAAGTGATACGCTTTTTTGTATGTACGCATTAATTTCTTTGAACCTAAAATCACGTTACTATTACGAGCCAACATCAATTATTTTCTATTACCCACATTTCTTGATAAGTATAAATTTTGTATAGGCCGAATAACAAAGGAAAGAAGTTATTTTGTAGATTATTTTACCCATGCGAAACGAGTTAAGTAATAGTAAAAAAAACAAATTTTACAATTTTAGCGTGCATTTCTGTAAATAATAATGCATATAGTGTGATGATGTTTGGTCAAGGGAAAGCGAAAAATGTACGAATTACGTTTGAAAATATTTTGTGTCTTACGTACATACATGAAAAGGAAAAACGTGAAAATCACACCACCATAGAAATTTGCTAGCTTAGGTTTTTAATTGCAAAGTGATATTCTAAACAGTGAGCTATTTATAATTTATTACTAGCCGAATACAGACCGTGAATAATAAAGCAAAGTATGTTGTAAATATAATATAAGAGAACGAAATAAATGATGTAGTAAAATAATTTAATACCGTATAATTAAAATGAAACATATTTTATTACTTGTGAGGGTACATTTAATTAATTGCTTACCAAGAAGTTAAGGTAAACATAATAAATGTTACTAATCGTCAATCTAATTCTTTATTAGACTTGCTTCTTATTAAAACCGTCGACATGTATAATAAGAAAAGATAGAAAATCGAACCGCTACTTAACCCTAATTTATATCTGATTAACCAAGGAGGGTTATTTTAACTCTCATTAAATGCAAGAGGACAGCTTAACAATTCTAAAAAGAGCAACCTACTAATAAAATAAGATAGTCTAAACGCCCACTTAAAGCAAGTCAATAATGTGTAAAATATACGAATATATAATACATGTAGAAGTGACTATATTGTTACACTGTATCCATTTTTAAAACAAATTACCCGGCTTGGGATATGCCAACAGTTTAAACATGATCCAGGTTTCAAATTTTTTACATGAAAATGATCGAAATATAAATATAAGGTAACTGCATTTAATGTAGAGCGCCTCGATATCTCAGAAAATAAATAATATATGTATTACAATGGAAAATATTTGGTTAGTAATGGTAAAAAATTCCGTTAATAGCTGGATGACAGTTAAATATCTGTTCTAGAAAGTTATTCATCAATGTGTTTAGCCGCACGTAAATGTTTTTGAGAAAATTAATTATTTAAATTTCTAAGTAAAGGTAAGTTAAAAAATATTATCTTTCTATAATTTATCATTAATATGTTTGTTAATGTTATATAGTCTTCTATATATTACATCTATTTTGTGGGATGGAAACATTCATTTTTTGTGATAAAAATGGGTTATCCTTACAAATTTTCTAAGTATTCCCATGGACATCACTTTTCTAATTCATCGTTTTTAACATTCTTTACATTTGTTACTTATATGGATTAATTTTGACGTGTTATGATATATTATAAATAAATATATATAAATTATGAGTACAAATACATGCATGTACATCATTATATTTTAATTTTTCCAATACAGTATGTTTCGGTTAAAAAATGTTTAATAAATATTGTTACTATATCACTACGATTGAAATAATTAACTAATGTAAATAATAGGGTAAAAGTACCTAATATGGAATACTTGATTTTAATAGATTGTCAAAAATAAAGATGTGACGCTTTTCCCATGAAACTGCCGATATACATGTTACATTATACGTATAAATACGAACAAACGCATTAACACGTTCTGAAAAAAAACAGGTACAAATTAACATAAAACCCATATGAATATCTATTATTAATGTTTTAAATTATTTACACACTACTTTGCAATTCTTTTAGTACTGTGCAATCTGTTTATACTAATAAAAATCCCCTTCTCCTGTGACTCCAGCATGACGGCATACGCAGTTTAATACACGATGGTACATTGCTAAAAAGACGCAATTGAGGAAGGCAGATATTAACTTCCATAAATTCGGTGGTGATTCGGTCTACGAAAAACTCGCAGTTCAATTTCTGTTTGTTCTAACAAAGGTACGTACTCAGTTAATATATTGTTACAATTTATTATTTAATTACGTTAAATTATTGGAAATATACTAGCAAGTTATGTATTAGATTTTGATTTTCCGGTAAGATGATTTGTCAGATCAAGTAAGAGAAGTACAGTGTAATTATTATGAATAAAACGATTAAATTTCTAAACGACCTTTGATATGAAAGTCTTTTTATAAATACGAATTATGGAAATTATGGAGATAACGGAGATTACATGATTATCGGTACATGATAAAATTCGAAAATATATCATTCATTCTTGATCCAACAACGAAATATTTGTTGTGAACTATAAATGTTTAAAAAGCTTGTTATAATATTATCAGTGTCATAATAATTTGTTTCACTCTTCCTGTTCTATAATATTCCTAAAAACCAAATTTTTTCCAAAAGAATAGTAGTACATGGAATGAAACTATAAATATTTGACCAATTTTAATAATTGCATGTCTACAGATTGCCAATTATATTTTACTTAATTATGTTCACATTGTCATATTTTTTAATATAGCTTTAAAATTTACGAATCTGTAAAATGTACATATAAAATTGAAATAATTATAAGATTTTCATAAAATTATATTTACTAATAATAAGTTATTACATAGACACTATATAA